GTCTCTAAAAGAAAAATGTATAGATGTCGTATTTCAGTCGATCGCTGCAAAGAACGAGGTACTTGAATTTCACTGTCCCGATGAAAATTTCTTCAGTTGTGGTAATAGTTTTGAATTGGAAAGGGTTTTGTAGCTTAGCGAAGTAAAATTCTTGCGGCTTTTTCCACTTGAAAATTTTACGAATGCTAACAAGGATCTGCCATACTAACCTTTGTATATTATGTCTTGTTTACGCAAACCACTGACCTTTGCTTTGGGTTGCTCTCTCTTGCTGAAGATTAGAATCTCCATCCCCATGCGGAACTTGAAGACCACATCCAATACTTTTGTTTTCGACAATTTTTGGTTCTCTTCGAGTTGAATTCATTGCGGTTTTTGCTTTATAAAACTCCCGAAATCTCCCAAAAATTGTCCATCTTTGACTGCACACTTTCAAAATCGCTCGGATGAAACTCTTGACGAACGCGAGCTGTTTTCTTCACCGTATGTGTTGTTTTCATCACAAAATCTAGCCACCATTTTGAAAAATAGTTCAAGCTGTTCTCCAGGCTCTTTTCGGCGTTTTTAAGGACGATTTTTAGCGCCTGGGACTTGAATTTCGTGCTGCGTGACATATCGGCCACGGATCGAAAATTATTCTCGATGTGATTTACGGCGGCTCAAAACCGCTTGCAAAGGCTTCTCATTGTACGAAATCGGACCGGTGAAAACAGAAACGTATCAGTAGAGTTTCTAAAGAGATTATTTCAGTGAAATCTTCTTAGAAAAGAGATGATATTTGCCGGATAATCTTTATTTTCTTGGCTGAAAGTTGGCTTGTCAGCGCCGGCGCTGGCGTGACTTGTTTTCTTGACAGCCGTGAGCCAATCAGCACATTGGATATAATGACGTATGTCACGCCTGCTATGGTTCGGAATTTCTGGCTATGGTGACGAATTTGATTTGAGTTTTGTAATTTTGCGGTGAGGTTTTCTGTTTATATTGTTTAGCCTTCTCTTCAATTTTGAGTTTGAATAACCTCAAAATGCACAGGACATAAGTAGTGAAAAATACTATACAAGAAAAAATTTATACTTCGGTTAACTTTTAATCTTGGGTTAGCGTTAACCGGCGTTCCAAAACCGAGCCCAGATTACAATCGAGTTAGCCTCGTTTGTGCCCGCGACCCAATCGAAACCTAGTACTGGGTCAACGGTCAACTTCAAACGACACGTGGCCTCGATGAGCTCTAAAATTGAGTTTGCGATATGTTCACGTTATACTGGTCAGCAGATACCTTGTTTTGATAGGTGTCAATTGACCATAACATGGATGTCCAATATCAAAGATATACGCTGTAAACCAAGGCCCTGCATGACTTGGAACTAGCTGGAGAATGGCCGCCATGTTGTGCGACGTCGTCGTCGTCCCGTCTTCGTTTTTCGTAAGGCGCACATGCCCGCGATCCGTGCCGCTAGCCATGTTGACCATCGAAAAAAGCTGCATGGTTTCCTATTTCTATGCATGCATGTGGTTCTCTTCCTAAAGTTATGGTGCTCCGCCTGGCGACCCTTTAAGCCGCCAAAGTTCCGCTATTAATTGTTATTAGTATATACCACACAAGTGAATAGTGCTTTCCGCGCATTCTGATTAGCTAGCTTGGAAGTGACTAGCAAGTACTATTCATCTCCACTTCAGTGAATAATTGCTAACCAAACCACAACTATCGTTGCTCATAAAGTCATCGACGATCAAGCAAAGGTTACTGACGAACGCCTCTTGCCAAATGTTTGTTTTGTACATCCTACTCACGAAATTGATCGACACCTACCTGTGGTTCCTTTCATTTACGCTCGTAGCCTATTTGACAATTATTCCACGAGCACGCGTTGGATATGAGATGGTAGATAGCCAGCGAGGCACATAGCGCCGAGTTGGCTATAATACCATCTCATATCTAACACGCGCGAGCGGAATAATCGTTTGGTTTTTTTTTTAACGCCCCCAAAATATAGAAAACAAAAATAAAATAAGAAACAAAAACGCCCCCAAAAAATGCTCGTACGCTTACCATATTTGCAGAGCATGGTCAATAATGGCTCATATTCCATGATCTCTAAGCCAATGAAAACTCTCGAATTGCATTATCCGATGATCCAGTTTATATTCATTCTAAACATTTAACTTTAGAAATTAAGCTTTTTTATAAATACCAAATGAAAAATGTTAGAAGCGAACAACTGTTACCATGTTGTACTGGAAATCTCCCAACTAGTCCTACACAAGAAGACTGCGATAAGTAAAATGCCTAAAAGCCCTGTTCTGACGTCGTCTTCCCTAGGTGAAACCAACGACTGTTGAAGAAAACGATCGAAAACATCTTCCTTCGCTCTAGCGGAGGTTTCGAAAATCAGTACGAATTTTATTTCATTGCAAACGCCTAGATAATACCACTGTCTCAACTACTTTCGGACTAATCTACTTTTCTGGACTTTTTGGAAAATGAAAATGTCTGTATCGAAAGTAACTTCATTTTGTTTCAATCGGCTCCGTTTCAAATGAAAATGAACGACAACGTAAAACTGTGGAAGGAGCCTTCGCTAGATTGCAGAGAACATGTATTATCCTTCTTACCTGTTATTTTAGAAGAATTCTCTTCGAAGAATATCGGCAAAGGGGAGCCACCGCCTGAACCAACCACACCAACTACAAATGTTGTATTGCCATTGGTCCATAGCACAGGGGACCCAAGAATGGCGCTGTTTCCCAAGTCATTCTGGCTGTCCTTTCCCCACTTTTGGTCACGTTTATCGTAGGACCATTTAACTCTGACTACTTCGACATCAGTACCGATGACAGATAACGAATCGCAGTGGTCTTTATGTCCCAGTGCCTTCATAGGGAACGTATCGTCAGCTTTCGAAAGAGGAATAAAGGTAAACTTGCCATCGGAATGAATATCCTGAATCTTTATGCGATGCTTCTTGTTATGCTTTGGGTACTGCGCACAAAATCGATCGGCAACTAAACTTTCTTCATCATTTGTTCCGATGTATTCAGGATTAGCAACATCTGTGCAAGTGACCAGAAAGACTCTTCCCGACTCTGTTTTGACTGAGCACGCCGTTCCCTTCCTTTTATCGTCTAAAAAGGACCTGACGGCAAATAACGCTTTCCCACGATCCTCTGTACGGACCAAGTCTCGCAGCACTGCAACTACCGGCATTTTCACTAAAAAAGGACATAATACGGACGTCTTACACCGATATAACAATCAGCTTCCAGGGAAAATGGATCGTCTGTAAACAGTGGAAACTGTGATGCCACTAAACTGAGTTTTTAATCCGCGGGTCATATATCATTTATATATCGAGCTCGTATCGTAAACAAGACGAGTCATGCAGTTAGATCAAAACAAGTGGACAGCTTATATATCAAGGCTTCGTCGCCTTCTCCCCCACTAACCAGAGGTGACTTTGACTTGACATTGTTTCATTTTTTCGCCTTATGTTTAATAACATAAATACTTCCAAAATAAACTTCTGAACCTTCATAAGAGATTCTGAACGTAAAATTCGATTGTTGACAATTGAATGTAGTAAATGAAAAAAAATTCACGTCGTTTTTAGGTTTTAGGCTTTCAGTGTGAATGAGAATAAAGCATTCGCTATCCACGCTTAAATTTCTTAAGCTTTTATTTAAGACCTTTCCAGCCTGTGGATCACTGAAATCATACCTGATGATCTTAATGCCTGTGCACTCTCTAAAGCTGGTAAGTAATTAAGTAAATCAGTAAGTCAAGTTTATTGTGTATATACACTTAGCTTAGCTGGGAAGTGAGAGGATGAGATGAGAACAA